CTAAAGGAAATAATTAGGACCAAGGTAAAGTGCCAATTTTTCTCTTTGGGACCCATTTTTAAGAAATAAAATTTTATCCAGGTAAAAAAGAATTTTAAAAAACAATTAAGATCAAGTTATATTAGTATAACTTATTTATAATATTATATTAGTTGTAACTTTTCATATTGTTGACTCAATGTACTCCAAGAGGGGGGTGAATTGGAGTTCCAAAAATTCTCTCCTTTTTGCAACCACAACACCCAAATTAAAGAGAGTAGATAAGAAGAGCTTGCTCAATGATTTATAAAGGTTCGGCCCAACCACTTGGAGCCTAGTCCTCTACCTTGGCTTCACTCACCAAGGATTTCCTCCACACTCTCCACTAACAACAACAAGGGTGGCTTAAAGGAGCCACTCAATCCTTTTACAATAAGATGAGTGTTTCTCTCAAACCTCACCCCCTTACAATGTAAACCCCACGAATCCTCTCAATAGATCACTCTTGAAGGAATCAACACACCCCCAAGATCACTCACTAAAAGCACAAGAAGAGGATTACAAGCAATGATCACTCAAAGATCAAAAACTCAAGTTAAAGCTCTAGTGGGTAGGTAAAGATATTCAATGCAATGTTCTCCAACCTTCTTCAGATTTGTAACCAACCATATTTATAGCCCCTTGCTCGAAAATAACCGTTTCTAGCCGTTGGGGGTCATTAAATGCTCTGCAGGACACAAAGCTCGAGCTGCAGAATTGTCAGGAGAGCCAGCTTAACATATTAGAGCCGGCTCTACAAAGCCGGCTTACATTTCCAGAGCCGGCTATCCGGGTCTGCAGCACATTCTGTTTTCCTCGAGAGCCGGCTGCAAAACTTTGAGCCGGCTTTACAACTCCGACTTTAAATTCATTAAATAATCTTCAAATGCTCAACCGTTGTGCATTAAATGCACCCTTACAGCCGGCTGCAAAGCCAGAGCCGGCTTTGCGTCTTTTCTCCGCGCGCGCCAACCAACGGTCTTCAAATTTTTGCCTGTAGAGCCGGCTGCAGCTTCTAGAGCCGGCTCTCTGCACATTGAATCCTTTTGGTCGATTTTTAGTGCCATCCAAGTTTACTTGCAATCTTTTAGCAACTTAACTACACACTTAAATAAACCAATTAGTCATTCAAATGTGTTTTGTAATCATCAAAATCATAGGTACAACACATATAATTATATTTTATCAAACTGATAATCATATTTGATATTTTATTCATATGCATTATACATTCCTAATTTAAAGTTTATGTGATATCTAGAATTACATGAAAAAAGAAACTATACTTTATATGAGATTAATTAGTGTCACTCCAAAATTATACATTCCTAATTTAAAGTTTATGTGATATCTAGAATTACATGAAAAATGAAACTATATTTTATATGAGATTAATTATTGTAACTCCAAAA